ATTAAAAATTCAAAGCTACTTTTCAAATTTGGCACAGAGCCCAATGTAAGATTTCGCAGCCCAATGTGAAGCAGAAAAAAAATTAGTTTTCTTCTATTTCGTAATCGTTATGAAATTCTGGGCTTAGACTTGTGGTACAAATTCCAAAAATATTGGGCCCTCACATTGGGATGCAGAATCTTACATCGGGCTCTATGCTCAATTTCTAATCCTGTGATCTCAAAATTTCTCCAAGATGCGATTTTTTAAAATTTATTTATCTGTTGATAAATTTTGGACCCAATATCTTGGATTGGGCCCAATATTTTGGGCACTTTTACCACATGTCTGAACGCAGAATTTCATGGGGATTACGAATTTGATACTGAAAATTAGTGGTCTTATTTAAGAAAACCACTTCTTTCATTGTAGGGCCCAACATTGGGCTCCGGGCCCAATTTTTTGGTTTCAAAGATGTACATCTTTTTGTTTGGAACAACTTTTGTCTTGAACATTTTTTACAAAAATTCGTACTTTTCGAGATATTTGAAAGTTTCAATACTTTTGGAACACCCGTATACTGCATCAGCACACTGTGCGCGCTGCGTCATGTAGCGCGACGATGGTTTTCGTTAAATTATTCAAAAACTACATTTTTTAAAAATCTGAAAAAAATATATGTTAAAGGGGATTTTATAAGGTAACTTTTAAAAAAAAGTAAAGTGGTCACTTCAAAAAATCACCCCAAAAAAAATTTTTGAAAATTTCAAAATTAATTTTTTTTGACTTTTTTTCAAAAAAAAATTTTGAGATTTTTTTTTAGAATTGTCTTAGCGACATGTATAACATATTCAAAGCTCATTAAAATCGTTTCAGTAGTTTTCGAGAAAAATGGATTTCTTTATTTTCCTTTCCCCCACCATAACTCCCCCAAAAATTCGAATTATGGGTTCATACTTGCAGAATTTTATATTCATAGGGGTAGCAATATATGGTGTCAATTTGAACAGAATACCTGCAACGGCACTTTTTGTATCCTTAACCCCCTATACCCTTTTAACCCATGTACCCACGACTGTAAGGCTCCTTAAGTTTTTGACCCACCCACCCCCCTATCTTACGTAATTTTTTTCTCATGTATTTTCTTACTGGAATTGATAATTAAAAATTTAAAATCATTGCAGAAATTTGTTTAATTGAATATTAATTTAAAATATTACTTACCGAATGTCGGTAAAACAGGAAAGTGACCATATAAAAAGTTACCGACACGGAAACCTACATTACCAACTGTCGGTAAAACAGAAAAATGGTGATATAAAAATAACCGACACGGAAACCTACATTACCAACTGTCGGTAAAACAGAAAAATGGTGATATAAAAATAACCGACATAGAAATCTACATTACCGACTATCGGTAGAACAGAAAATGGCAATTTAAAAAATTACCGATATAGAAATCTACATTATCGACAGTCGGTAAAACAGGAAATTGGCGATATAAATATTACCGATACAGAAATCTGCATTGCCGACTGTCGGTAAAACAGGAAAGTGGCAGCAGTTTACGTTCGATAACGCAATACAGAGAACATAAATCAACAAATTAAAGTTATTTTATGGAATCATTGCACAAGTACGAGTGACAGTTTTTATCATCCATACTTGTCATTAGCGCCACTAAAAAGTAGCTAGCAGTAGCGAATATTTTACCTAACAGTAATACAGAAATTAAACGAAACGTTAGTAGTTTTTGCTTTTGATACCGTTTATTCAACGAAACTAAATTATAATGTACTTTTGATCCGGTTCGTTGAACGTAACAAAAGTAGAATTCATTTTTGATTCCGCTTGTTGACTTTAATATGATATGAACAAAGGTGGATTCTGGATCGATTGACGAATTTCGAAAAGTGAAAAATAATAAATGAATTAGAATTATGTAATTAATCAAAGAATAATATTCTGACTAGTCAGCGATTTAAGAAATTATATGTGCCGAAAAATTAGAAATCAGTAATGAAAATTGAATTTATGCGCACAAATGAAAAGAAATCCATCCCCGTTCTATTCTTTTATTTTAATAATTAAAATTTTCTATTTATACACGACCAAATACTATTTATTTATTGTGCTTATGGCAATCGAACATACATTAGTAGCCATAAAAAGGACAACAAAATGCAAAGTAAATCTAAATATTAGCATCTCAACTGGGATAAGTTCCGCTCGTATGGCATTCAAGTGGCCTACTGTATGTTTCAATGAGACTTTAGTTGTATAATCCTATTATGCATCCCACTCGTCACGCACTATGAGTTATTGCAGTATAATTTCACGGTTCGCACGTAATGCTATTGAGAGTATATATCTCATATCAAATACGTTTTGCCAAATTATCGACAATGCTTGAGATATTGTAGTCAATGCCGGAAGTGAATGGTCAAATCAAAACATCCATGGAGAAGGGACAACTTCCCATTTATTATGGGTAATGACAAATGTAAGCAACAGTACATTCTGTATACATACATTGAGTTAAATTTTTAAGCAATGTAATTTTAAATTACATTGGATTTTTAAATTACAATACCGATAATTTAAAATTCCATAACAATGTTCAGTTATAGTTAACATTTTATTTACAAAACTTCAATTTTAAGAAAATCTATTTATCTGTTTTTCTAAGATAGATCCTTAAAATGTATTAAAGATTATTTGATCAAAATAAAAAAATGTAAAAATAAAGAAATATTTTCTATATATCGTAAATATTCAGTTCAAAAATTATAATATCATATTTTATAGGTTAATCTAGAATTAACACCGAGTAGAATTAATTATCCACAAATAATACTAAATTTATTTAAAGCTTCAATTTTACATTCACACATAATTGTACAAGAAATAATTTACATTTTGCATTCAGCTTGTACGCTTCTTGCGAAACTCCGTATAATCAACGCAATGGCTCACGCATGACTGTCTTATTCTCCCTTTTTACCAAAGCCACGTTGCATAAATTGAATCAGTCAATTAACACATTACACGACATCGTGTATATTAAATTAAGGGGGAGGTACATTTGAATGCCTTAAAAAGTATTATTTTCAATTGTATTTTTAAAGTCAAGTCATAATAATAATTTATTCTATATTTATAAAACTCTGATGTTTTATAAAACGAAACAGAAAAAATTATTCGGTTAAATTTTGTTAAATAAACTGTTTAAAAAAATATTTGAAATAAATAATTTTTTTAACAAAAAATATTTTTAAATTTCTTCCTAAGATTAAAAAAATAGTTTTGTTTTTAAATTGTTCAACTGGATCTTAGAAAAAAAATTGATACATCTAAAAATATTACTTGTCAATTTTAACTTATATTTATTATCGGTCTAATATTTTTAGAAACTTATTGTCATTAGACTAGAAGTTAAGAAAATGATATATTTAAAATTAAATTGAAGATTTAGAAACTCTGATTCATTTACAATAAAAAGTTTATAATTGTTAAGTATGAATTTTTTTTTTAATTTTTAGATTCAGTGGATTTTTTATAAATATTGTTTAGTAAACATGTGAACACGATCTTCTTCAAAAATATTCTATTGTCTTGACCTAATTTTTTGGTTCCATGCAACCGAAATGGTTTTATGAAACCATTTGTAACATTCATACATATTTCCTTTAAAAACCATTCGAAAATAAGGATTTCAGTGCAAACGTAGACGATCCCTTTAAATTATTTTTTTAGTTAAGAGTGTTACTTCGTGTGAAACAAATTTGAAACGGTATTTCATTTTTGAGTCATTTGATTTCACTATTTTGTTTATGTGTGAGAACCAATTCTGATTGTCTGTTATAGTTACGTTGGTAAATAAAGTCAATCTGCTAAAGTAAACTCTTGGAAATTTAGCATTCTTCATACATTTCAATTTTTCACTTCAGTTCAAAACTCACTTAAATGAAATCCTGGTGAGAAAGGATGAAAGATGGTTTGCACCAATCTTCATCTTCAAGGCATAATTCGGACACTGTGTCGAGAGTAAAAGAAGTACTACATAGAACGAAGCTTTTATTGTATCAATTTCAGGCAGATGTCTTATATTGCACATACTTCAATCCCATAGAAAAACACACTACCTACTAATAAATTTAAAACTTTCTCTGTCCTTTTTTCAAGTAATTTTAAAATTTATATATCTTATTAAACTATTTTTGTTATATAAATGTTAATAAAATTTTTTTAACTTTTTTTAAAATTTTATCGACGCCCAAATTTCAAAGGATATATAGATTAATAAAATTAAATAATTTGTAATGATTTTAATGATTTAGATAGATACCATTTGAATGATTCTAAGAGCTTTAAAAATTTTTCTTTACTAACGTTGGTAGTGTATATAAATATTATTAATAAAATTTAAACATAGTGGAGTGGAGTGGGTCAAAATTATTAACTTTGGATACTGTCAGCTGTAGCTTTAATTCCTGAACCAATAAAATGCCAATTTAACAAGCGATTTAAAGATTGATATTCAGGCTATACATTTTGTTGCGTTGAGAGTTAAAATAAGTAAAAATAAAATTTAGAATATGTTAGAAAATATTATAGGAAAATAATATTTCAGTGGATAAAGAAAATAGGTTTCACTTTTAACACAAATAAAACTCGTTTAAAAATAAAGCTCGTTTAAGAACATATAATTTGCACAGAAACACAATATACATATGTGAGGTAATGAAAATATGATTGGATCTTTTGTTAATTCCTTTTTAAATTGAAAAAACTGTTTAGTTACATTTTTGTGGAAAAAACGACAAATCAACTGTACTCGACCGTTGTTTATTTTGTACTGAACCTTTTTGGTCCTTCAGGTATATACCGTAGTTATAAACTTAAACTTGTTAGTGTAGGTACAATTTTGTGTGAGTATCTGTGTAAGTGTTTGTGAAAGTATCGTTGTAATTTCTAAATATCCAACAGAATAGCTTATTCTTAATCTTTTTCTACAGGTAAACAAAATAAAGTTGTAAATATTATCGCAAGAAAAACATCAGCATCTGTAACAATTGTAAAACTTTATATTGAGCCATAAGATATAATCCCAAATTTTTAAAAACTTATTTTGGAACATCTTGCATTTTATAACTTTAATCCTCTCATTTTTAAGATAGGTCTGTTGAAATTATTTCGAAGATAAGACTACTCTAATAAAACTAAAAACCTAACCCCTCCACTTGCAATTATACCTGGGTCCAAAAAACCTAAAAAATTATTCTTTATTCTTCTGAATAACCAACGAAAATCAATTTTTCTCCTTTATCATCTAATTTTCTTCTTTGCTCTTTGTGAATGAGAGCGTATGCTGCACATCCAAAAACATGTAAGTGTCCAATATTTGGTTTCTTTCCGTACCATAACTCATATGGTGTTTTTTCTTTAACTTTTGTGGGCAATCTATTTTGCAAGTAGTTGGCCGTGATTGTTGCTTCTCCCCAGTATTTTTTATCTAAATCAGCATCTATAAGCATGCATCGAGACATTTCAAAAAGAGATCTGTTTTTTCTTTCGGCAACACCATTCTGCTGGGGTGAATAAGGTGCTGTGTATTGCATGCGAATACCTTCATCTTTTAAGAAAGATTGCAAATCATTACACAGCCCCACAAAAAAAAAAAAGTGTCATGTACTTTTGACCGGAATACCCTAACCCTATGTATTTTGACGCGCTGAACACGAATCCGAAGTCCGTTTTGCTCCATCACGTCAGGATTTTTTTCTAACCTCAAAAAACATGTCGGATTTTGAGAAGTAGGCGATTTTTTTAAAAATTGATGTATTAACTTCAAACTTGGTATCTGGGGGTTTTTTGTGTCGCTGATTACGAATCTGAAGTTAGATTTTCAAAATCCAAAATGGCGGATCCAATATGGCGGACGAATTTTGAAAAAATTTTAAGATTTACTTCAAACTTGGTATCTAGGGGTTTTTTGGGTCGCTGATTACGAATCTGATGTCAGATTTCCGAAATTCGACATGTCTGATTCAATATTAAGGAATTGTTTTTTAAAAAATTGTCAGATTATTATGAAATTTGGTATCTACAGGTTTTCTAAGTTGCTGACAAGTAACACTAGGGAAGTGCCATACGACGATTTTTCTGAAACTTGGCAGTTTTGTAGTTTTTTAAAAACAATTTGACACGTATGTTTTGTTTTTGCGCAAAATATTCGTAATCAGCGACCCAAAAAACCCCCAGATACAGATAATGGCGTATCTAATATGTCCGATAGAAGTCCATGTTGGATATGCCATTTTGAATTTTTCAAATCTGACATCATATTCGTAATCAGCGACCCAAAAAACCCCCAGATACCAAGTTTGAAGTAAATCTTAAAATTTTTTCAAAATTCGTCCGCCATATTGGATCCGCCATTTTGTATTTTGAAAATCTAACTTCAGATTCGTAATCAGCGACACAAAAAACCCCCAGATACCAAGTTTGAAGTTAATACATCAATTTTTAAAAAAATCGCCTACTTCTCAAAATCCGACATGTTTTTTGAGGTTAGAAAAAAATCCTGACGTGATGGAGCAAAACGGACTTCGGATTCGTGTTCAGCGCGTCAAAATACATAGGGTTAGGGTATTCCGGTCAAAAGTACATGACACTTTTTTTTTTTGTGGGGCTGTGTTATTAATGTACTCCCTTCCTCGATCTGATCTTATAATTTTTGGCTTTTTATCATGTTGTGTTTTCATTAATTGAATGAATTCTTTAATAAAAATTCCAACTTCATTTTTATTTTTCATTAAATAAACTTTAGAAAATCGAGAAAAATCATCAATAATGGTTAAAATATACCTTTTTTTACCTGGGGTTTCTGTTTGCATAGGGCCACAAATATCTGTGTGAATGAGATCCAGTATTGCTTTTGTCTTCTGTAGAGATTCTTTTGGAAACGGTTTACGTGCCATTTTCCCTTTAATACAACATTCACACACTATTTTTGCACCACAATCCTTGAATTGTATACCTGAGGCTACTTCCATTTCTGCTAATAACTTTATTGCTGCTGGGTCTCGGTGTCCAAATCTTCGGTGCCAGGCATGTTGACAATCTTCATGATAATGTTCTTTTATTGCCACTTTACTCGACCCGAACACTTCTATCACTTTTGTTTGATCGCATTTTTGAACTTCATACAAATCTGGAGACAATCTGGCTACAAGATGGATTTTACCGTCCGTTAAAATATGTCAATAATCCTCTTGAAACTGTATTTTGTAACCATCCTTTGCCAATTTTTTCACTGACAATAAATTAGAACTAAAGGTAGGTACATAGAGAACATCACGTATTTCCATTTCAAAACAATTTCCTTCTTTTGAACTCCACTTTATGATGCCTGATCCTATCCCTTTTATATTAGCAGCCTTTTCATCCGCAAGACGAACGAGTCCTTTTTTGCTAGTATCTAATTTTTTGAAAAAATCTTTATTGCGTACCATATGGCTTGTTGCTCCAGAGTCTACAACCCAACTTTCTCCTTCAATTGCTGCTTTTGTCATTTCCATATGTGATTCCTCCCTGGTTATATGACAGTAATCTTCAGTTTTCTCTTCTTTATCTTCGGAAACTTTATTGGCCTTTTGCTGTTTTTCTTTCTATGCTTTATACTTAAAACATTCTTGTTTCGAATGTCCAGGTTTTTAAAAAAAAAAACAATTACCCTTAAATTGCTTTTGACCTTTATCTTTATTGTATGAGGACTTTATAGCTGACTCACTGTTCTGAAGATTTTCTCTTACATCTTTTGCTCCTTTACGCCGTTTATACTCATCGATTAGTTTGCTTTTAATGAATTGGCTTGTAATATCTTCTTCGGGCCTACTCTCTAATGCCGTTACAAGAGTATTACAAGGGCTGATAATTGACTGATATTATTTGAAAAACTATTTATATGAGCTTCCATATCACCTCCTTCAATCAAAACTGAACGACATATTCTTTTTAATAAAAGAACCTTACTTGATAATGTCGACTTTTGGTGATATTCTTTGAGTGCATTCCATGAGTCCTTCGCTTATTTAGCATTCCTGATGTGCAATAATTGATCATCTTCAACAAGAAGTCCTATTCTTGCACGTGCCTTGTCGTCTTTCTTTTTCCACGCGGCTAATTTTGTGGCATCTAAATCATCAGGTTTAGCTTCTTCTAGCACTTCCCATAGATTATCGTCAATCAACATAAGTTCCATTTTGTAACACCACACAGAGTAATTTTCACTATTGAGCTTCGTGATTGCGAACCGGTATCCGGAATTTTCTGCCATAATTGTTCACTTTAATAACTTCACAGTACTGTCAAAAAAATCTGAGTCACTTTAATTGTCAATGTTAATGTCACCAAACAACTGTCAATAATTCCTTATGTTATTCACTTAATTATTGTTATTGTCTTTCACTACACTCTGGGCCCATAACCTGTTAGAAAATATTATAGGAAAATAATATTTTAGTGGATAAAGAAAATAGGTTTCACTTTTAACACAAATAAAACACACTGAAAGCTCGTTTAAGAACATATAATTTGCACAGAAACACAATTTACATATGTGAGGTAATGAAAATATGATTGCATCTTTTGTTAATTCCTTTTTAAATTGAAAAAACTGTTTAGTTACATTTTTGTGGAAAAACGACAAATCAACTGTACTCGACCGTTGTTTATTTTGTACTGAACCTTTTTGGTCCTTCAGGTATATACCGTAGTTATAAACTTAAACTTGTTAGTGTAGGTACAATTTTGTGTGAGTATCTGTGTAAGTGTTTGTGAAAGTATCGTTGTAATTTCTAAATATCCAACAGAATAGCTTATTCTTAATCTTTTTCTAAAGGTAAACAAAATAAAGTTGTAAATATTATCGCAAGAAAAACATCAGCATCTGTAACAATTGTAAAACTTTATATTGAGCCATAAGATATAATCCCAAATTTTTAAAAACTTATTTTGGAACATCTTGCATTTTATAACTTTAATCCTCTCATTTTTAAGATAGGTCTGTTGAAATTATTTCGAAGATAAGAGTACTCTAATAAAACTAAAAACCTAACCCCTCCACTTGCAATTATACCTGGGTCCAAAAAACCTAAAAAATATACCTGTACTAAACACCATGTTACCAACACATTTTGACCACTGTACACAAGCTACCAATGTAATCTTTGACTACGACGACATGACACTTTGCCATAATCGTCAGAACCATTTCTGCTCTCGCTTGAGTAGAATCGAGCAATCACTTTTTCACAAATATTAATTCATCGGTGTACTCAATTTTTACCAACATTAAAATAAATAAATAAATTGTAATTTTTTAAATTATACATGTACATTATCTCACTTCATTTAAACAGCCAAGCAATTTTCTATTAAATGTTTCTTTGCATGAACACATACAATTTCAAGGAAGCATCTCCCGATATCTTCTAGATTGTGGCAAGTAACACTAGAGAAGTACCATTTGCCGATTTTTCTAAAACTTGTCATATTAGTAGTTTTTTGAAAACAATTTGACACATATTTTTTTCCCAATAGCCGATTTAAGGTTAAAAACTACGCTTCAACATTTTTGGGGATGAGTCACATTATTTTGCGAAATGTTATTTAAATTAATGTGCTTTTATTGTTTCTGGCAGTTTTTTGGGTCGCTGATTACGAATCTGATGTCAGATTTGAAAAATTCAAAACAGCGGATCCAATATGACCGATAAGAATCTGTTGTTTCCCAACTTATTCATTTTTTAATAATAAAAGTAATTTTGACGAAATTATAATACTTAGGTTAAGAAAAAAAAATTAAACTTTACAACACTAACATAAATTTTGGGATTATTTTTTATATTTATCTTATTTTTCTTAAATAATTATTAGAGAAATTGTGAGTAAAGTAAATTATTCGTATACAAAATATCTCTTCTAACACTAGAAATCAATTGGTAAGTTCCAATTCAGAAAATGGTACTTCTAAATTATATGGCCATTGTAAAAGAAGGGACTACGTTCAGGAGATTAGGATAATTACTCAAATCC